GCAGGCACAAGAGCACGCACGCGCACACACCAATAGGAAGACATACTTTGACACAAAGTGAAAAATAACTTCGACCTATTGTAAACAAGGGCAACAATTTTCCAAGGCCGGTGTGCAGTAGGAATCTGATTTTTTAACCCCTCAACAGCAGCAGCAGCAGCATGCGTAGCAATAGTCGCCGTAACGGCAGTAGTAGTGATAGTAGTAGTAGTAGTAGTAGCAGCAGCAGCAGCAACAGATTGGTTTTAATAAACCTCGATGATCTACTGTTTGTAAGCCAGCTTGTAAAGTCCCCGGTCCCTGGTCAGTCGACCGAAAAGACAGTTGTCCCAGCTGCCGTGGTGCGATTGGACGCCAAAAGTGTGGCGTTGTTGTGCTGATGGAGAGGATGCCTCAACTACCACATGGGAAGACGAGTCGAAGCGAGAGGCTGGAAAGGAGACGAATTCGGTTGAATGAGGCGGAGTGTGAGAGCACGTCTCGAACACGAGCAGGAGACGAAGAAGCCCGAAATAGGAGTGGCGGCCGAGGGAAATGCCGACAAACTACCAAATCGCCACAGCCCGGAAGCAGTGGAGACGATGCTAGCCGACTCACCAGAAGTGCTTTCACCTGTACACACTTTCTGCCGAAGACAACAGAAGCCGGACACTGACGGACGAGGTGAAGAGGGGAGGCCGGCCCCGGACTGGACGACGTCGAGAAAGCGGCGACGGAGGGAGCCTCAGAGGGAAGGGGGCAAGGCAGATGGAATGAGAAGGTGTCGCAAGAGCCGTCCGACTCGGGCGCCGTCGACACGACCGGCTCAGCGGTGGCGACGGTTGTGGTGATCGCGGTCGCCGATGGTACCGGATGACTCGAGCCAGTGTTGGGCGTGGAGCGCGTGAGCAGGTTCGTCTTGTCGCCGGTCGGAATGAGGACGGCGACGGCGGCGGACAGGACAGCCGCGACTCGCTGGCTCAGACGAGCCGCCGACTGGCCGCGTTCAGACGACGCCTCGGCCGTCCCCGTGACTGGGTCGGCTTCAAGAGGCGGCGCCGCCGCCGAATCGGCCGACTCGAGGCCGGGCCGACGGCGCCCGAGGACCGAATTGACCGGCCGCGAGGGGCTGAGGAGCTGCGGCGGCTGGTCGAGCGTCTTGCGACGGACGAAGCGACGCAGTCGAGGGC